CGGGGAAGCGCGGGTAAAACCCGGGCAGCCTCCATGGCGCAACGACCTGGCGGGAGCGCAGGAGCATGAGACAAGAAACCCCGGGCCCCCTTGCAGCCCCCGGCCCCCCCTGCCCCTTGGCACCCCCCAGGCTCCCCGCAGGAGAGGGCTCCTGGCAGCCCTGGGGAGCCGGCACCCATGGGGTGTTGGTCCCCCAGCCGAAACTCAATCTCCCTGTGCAAGGGTGGAGTAACCCAAACCCCTGACCCTAACAAGGCGCTGGATGTAAGGGGGAAACAGGCAGCATCGATTATCTGGCAGCTGCCTTGGTACTGTTTCCTCCAAGGCCTCGTGGTGTTTGGGATAAAAATAGGTCAATTAAGGATCATTACAGCCCCCTCAAATGCCAAAATGTTGCTTGGTACAGCTGGCAGCTTGTTAAAGCAAGACATGGCCACTTGCATCGGTGTTAAAACAAAACTCCCCCTCAGGTGGGGAGGGGGCCAGGAGCCCAGCGGTGGGGCCCCAGGGGACAAGTTTGGGTGCCTTACCTTGATCTTAGGACACAGGGCGTAGCAGGTGAGCTCAAACCGAACCTGGTCGTTGCCCTGAAACACGAATGGGAGATGCTGAGGGGTCACCCCACACCAGGGCGGGCTGGGAGGTGGGTGCCCCCCACCCCGATCCCACTGACAGAGGACCAGCTCGCCCAGGGCCATACAGCATCCTCGGGAGAGGACCGTGGCCTGGTGGGGCTGCAGGTTTGGATTTGGGGAAAGAAACTGCAAAATAGGTAGGAACTGTTAAAAATAAAAGGAAAGAGCATTAAAAGTACAGATGATAAAACAGCAGCTCCCAGCTGCGCTACAGCCCCACGGCTTCATCCAGGGAGCTGGGAGGCTCAGGGGCTGCTGGGTGCTGCGAGAGCACGTGTGTGGCGGTGCACACGCGTGTGATAACACACGGGTGCAACTTCTAAGGCGCTGCTTGGCTACAGTAGCAGCTCCCCTTGCAATGCTGGAGACCTCAGGCACGGCGAGCAAGGACCCACCGTTTCCCTGCTCCCGGCTGCTCTCCCTGCGCAGGGACGGGACCAAAATGCCCCCAGCAGAGAGCTAGAGGGGACACGTCTCAGGGTCTCAGCTCCAGCCAGCACAGGACAGCCACTTGTCCTATGTCCACTGGGAAAAGCATCCCAGCCTGTGGCTTGGGAGACCCTCGGCTGAGCGGGGCATTTGCAAATCCCTGCGAGAGCCACCAGCCAGGAGGGACGCCCGCTGACGCTGCCCGGGACTTCAGATACCGAAGCTCCCTGTGCAAGAGGGGGGGGTCACATCTATTTTCCCAGTAATGCCACTGTGATGGGATTGCTGGCAATTTTCACTGGAAAAGCAAGGCGTGAGGCTGAGCACCCATCTATCTCCTCCGTTCCCCCAGCATAGAGGGAGGCAGGAGAGGGTAATGGATGCCAGGACCTGGGCTGGCTCTGTCCCATGGGGTCACTCCTGGCCCCTCTCCATGGCTGATTTGAACCCAAAACCACCTTTCCTGGTGCTTCTAATAGAATCGGGCACTGAATGATCAAACCCCTAACGCAGCTCATTCACCTGGCTCCGAGGGAGCCCAGCTGACCCTGGCGTCACCCAAGAGCCGTGCTCTCCCCTGGGCTAAGACTCCTAAAAACTGAACTAGTAGAAACCCAGATTTAGGTATTTTTGCCCTCACAGGCATCAGAGGACACATGGAAGGAGAAAGCAAGGGGGGAGGAAGACCACAGTGTCCAGGAGGATGCAGCAGCTCGTAATTAAATAGCTCTGAACCTCCCTTTATCTTAGTTGGCCTGTGCTGATGAGGTCCCGCTAATGAGGCCAGGTAGTCAGGAAGGGGCAAGGAGCAAGCCTGGGAGTTATTAGCACTTCCAAGGGAATAGCGCTCACCAAAGCCTATTTTCCACCAGCACCAAGGGGCGTAAGGACCCCCCTCCCCTCCTCTTAGCCCCAGCCTGGAGGATACATTTACGGCCGGGCTGGGAAATCCCCGAGGACTATTACACGCAGGCGAGTACATCCACCAAAGCACTCATTTCCCTTACAGACCCAAAACAAGTCCATCTGCTCCAGCAGCGGGGCCACCGCAGATGGCCCGCATTTAAGACGCTGCGGCCTCAGCCGGGGCCGATGCGCAGCCGGGTCGAGTTACCCCATGGCTGGTCCCTGCCTGTGCCCGCGGCTTAATGGCTTTTGGGGGGGGGGGGCTGGGGGAGCGGGCAGAGCCCGGGGAGCAGCCGAGGGTGGCCCTGCCAGCAGGGATGGCTGGTGCTGGTGGTACCCAGGAGCGGAGGGGACATCGTCACATTAGGGGTGCATTACTCCAGGGCACCCTCAAGTGGGGGCTTTCAAGAGGAGGCTGCTGGGGACAGGCAAGAGGGACAGGGAAGGAGTGCAGAGAACCCATTGCAGCAGGAGCAAGAGTTATTTCAGCCACCAAGTCCCCCAGCCCCATGGCTGCCCCTCTGCCCCATCGCCCCGGTGGCAGCAAGCCCCTTGGCTATCCCCTGGCTGCATCCAACATCTCCCTTCTAGCAGGGTCCTCTGCCATAGCCGGGAAGCCCCAAACCCAGCCCCTTGCACCGAGACCCCTCCAGGTGGGCACCTCGCCTTTGCCCCTCGGCCAAGACGGGCACGATCTACGCTGCGGGTCCCTGCGGGACGGGGAGGAGGAGGCACCCGGCAGGTCCTGGGTGCACGCACAGCACCCAAGGGCCCTACAGAGCCACAGCTGGGACCAGCCGGGCTTGTGGCCTCCGGTGACAGTGTCACCCTGCCCCGAGTGTCCCCACACCGGGCTGGGCAGGGTGCGGGCAGGGGCTGGAGGTGCCAGGGTCACATCAGGCAGGTCCCACGCTCCCCGTGGAGGATTCCCTCCGCGCCGGGCAGGGGCTGGCCCCGAGCATCCTTTCCACGGTCTCTGGCTGCCTCTAGCGGCAAAGGGTCTTCCCTGCGGCCGGCGACGATGGGGACAGGGATGGGGACAGGGATGGGGACAGCCGCACCCTGCCCAGGGTGCCCCAAAACGCCCCGAGCGGTGCTGGCTCAGCCCCAGCCGGGTCCTGGCCCGGGCAGCCCGTGTCTGTAAAAAACCGAAAGCAGGAGGTTGGGCTGTGACCCGAGCCTTCCCGACAGGGGGAGGGAACCGAAATCAGGCACAGAAATCCCAGAAGTGAGAAGGAAGTGTCGAAACACTACCCCGCAGAGCACCCACAGAATGCCCTGTGCACCCCTCCTGGCACCAAAGCTTGGCCAAGGGACTGATTGGGTCCCCCCCCAAGCACCCTATGCCACCCCTGCTCCGGTGCCCCCGTCCTCCCTCACCTTGCCGGTGGCCCCATGGGCGACGTACTGGGCTCCCTCCCTCTGGGCGATCTCCACCAGCTTGCGGGCGATGCAGGGCCGTGCCAGCGCGGTGCCCAGCAGGTACCGGTCCTCGTAGAGAGCGCCGGCCTGCACCGCCGGCCAGATGAACTCCTCCACGAACTCCCTGCTGATGTCCTCGATGTAAACCTGCCGGGATGGAGGGAGCCCCATGATGGGAGGGTGGCTGCAGGGGGGATCCTGCTCCTCTGGGGCTTTGGGGACAGCATGAAGGGTCCCTTCGCCTCCCCTTTCCTAGATGTTGCTAAAAGGCTTTGGTGCAAAACCTCTGCAAAAGGGATTCCTTGCTGGCACTGTCCCCCCACCATGGTGGCCCCAGCTGTGGGGTGTGCAAGACCCCAAGGCTCAGCCCCACGGCAGGGAGCGGGGGGGCTCAGAGCCCCCTGGGCACCCGGAGGGAGGGACGCTGTTACCTTCTTGGCCCCCAACGCCAGCGCTTTCTTTCGTGCTGCTTCAAAATCTTCCTTCTGCCCGATGTTGGCCTCGAAGGGGGAAAAAACCAAGACTGAATTTGAAAGGAGACCACAAAACCCAGCGCAAGCACAGCCCAGCATGGGGCATCGTGTGAGGCACAGCAGAGCCCGTGCTGGCTGGGCTTGAGGCCACCCAGGATGGGCAGGAGGGGGGTTGCCCCCCCAGACAGCATACTTTGGGGCCATACCTTCCACTGCCAAGCCCTTGGCTCTGCCCCCGTGCACTGCCCTCATTAGCGGAGGATCATTTGCTCGAGGGGATGGGCTGTGCCACGCAGGGCTGGCAGCTCAGCAGAGCAGCACCCGGGCTGGGCAATGCTTAATCAGTGAGAGCAGGGTCGCCACCATGGCCACGCACATGCCAGGACCCCCGTCACCCACCCCAGGTCCCCAGAGCCATGGCCCAGCGCCCCCTCCCACACCCAGCCCCCGGGGACAGGGTCCCTGCGGCAGGGCTCGGTGCGGGGCTCACCAGGTAGGCGATGACGTCGTAGCCCTGCTCCTTCAGCCACACCAGGATGCAGGAGGTGTCGAGGCCCCCGCTGTAGGCAAGGACCACCGTGCCCTTGGGCTGAGCCATGGTGCTGGCAAAGCAAAGGGAAAGGGGTTCACCGTGGCCCCAGCCCCTGCCCTTACTCGGCGCAGGGATGCTGCAGCCATCAGCCGTGAAACCCTCCCCCGTGTCCCTGAACTGGCCACGGGGCTGTCACCGTCCAGCCGGGCACTGAGGGCAGCCAGGGGTGAGGGCTCTTCCGGGGATGGGATATTGTGGGCAAAACAAACATTATCCTGGGGATGAATAACCACGAGGCAAGAAGCAAAGCCCACGGCAAACTAAACACTCAGGGCGGGCAGCGGTGGGGGTAGGTGGAAGAGCACATGGTGGAGCCACTGGTGCTGGGACAAGCTCTCCGATTGAAATACAGGCTCCCAGGATTGTTCTCACTCACAGGCAGCAAGAGCTGCTGCCATCGGGTGCGCGGTGCTCCCTCGGGACCAGGGCCATGGGCAGGACACCAAGCCGGGGTGCGCTCAGCCCACGTCTGGCTGAGCCCCCTCCTCTGCCGGGAGCACCAGGCTGGGGCAGTGAGCAGCAGGCAGCGCAGGAGGGGACTTGCCACGGCATCGGGAGGGATCACTTGGACCAAGAGCCCTCCCGGGATGCAAGGAGCAGAGGGGGAGAGAGCTGGGGGCAAGAGGAAAAGCCATGGCACCGCAGCCACGTCCCAGCTGCAGCTCCCAGCCAGCGGCAGCCAGGTGATGGAGGAGGCCAGGGCAGCCATCGGGGCAGCTTCGCTCTTACCTTTGCTCCACGCAGCTCTCACTCTGGCAATCCCGGCACAGCCTGCTCCACGCTCTGCAAGCACCCTGCAACACCGGGGTGCCAGGACTCAGACGCAAGCACCCAGCCGCGGCAGAGATGCAGCCCGATGCCTTGCTCGGGCATGACCTGGCACATCGTGGTCCTGCACCAGCGCTGGTACAGAGGACCCCCTGCAGCAGATGGGCGCAGCCGCCCACCAGCTTGGCCCCGAGCACCCACGGGCACTGCTGGGTGTGTGATAGCTTCAGGGCTGGGGCGCTTGGCAGCACCCCCCACAGCCCAGCCCCAAGTCTAATTAATGCTTATTGGGTGTTTGTCCTAATTATGCTGCCCCGTGTTTCCTGCCAGCATGAAACACCTACGTGGGGATCCCATGCCCCTTACCCTTTGGCCGAGGATATTGAGGACTTCAGCCAACAACAGATGGTGAAGGACGCGGCAGCCTGGAGCTCAGGGGGAGGGATGGGGGATCCCGCTGTGGGACGGGGCTCAGGGCTGTCCCCACGGTCCCCAGGCCGGGCTGTGAATCCCAGGGCCCCGCAAAGAGGCGATGCCAGCTGACCCTTGGCCGGAGAAGGCGGACGGCAGTGCCGGCCAAATCCTGTCCTGAGCAACTTCCACGCTGTTGCTGCCAAGTCAGCACAATCCTGCTCCTCTTGCAAGCAGGGAAGGCGCCATGCCGAGCTCCTCCAGGCTGGCCCACCCAGCACCTTTCCGAGTGGGATGCAGTTACACCGGGGCGTGCCCCAGCACCCTGGTCCTGCCAGCGCGGTGTGGAGCCAGCATCCCACGGGGCATGGCTTGGAGCCAGCCCAGGTGCAGGATCTGGCCTGCTGCTGCCGGTTTCTTGCTGAAAAGCAAAGGGCTCTGACAGCCCTGTAACCGTGATTCGGCCCCTTGAGCCTGCCCACGCCTGTCGGGCTGCCTGTGCAGGCAGTGCAGGCAGCACCCAGGCTTGTGCAACCAGCGTTTCCCTACCCTCGAGCCCCGTGGGTGTGCCACGCTGGGCCCCCGCCCGGGGCGGCTCCGCCATTCCCTTCCTCGCCAGGGCATTTACAGGAAGGCAATGGCAGTTCCCCAAAAGGGCTCAGCCCAAGCGTGACGCTGCACCTGCGACTCCTCACTGGGTAAATTCCCTCCTTTACCCCCAAACCCCATCCCCGCTGCCAGCATCGCTGGCATGGCTGCCAGCCTGACTAAGCACCTGAGACCGGGCACGCTCGCTTCACAAGTGGCCCGGCAGCAGGTTAGAGGAAAAGTCTCCAACTTTTGCCTGCTCAGACATGTTACGCTGCCCACGTGATACCCAAGGGACCTGGGGGACCTTGCCCTGGGGTCGCATCCTGCATCCCAGGAACGGTGCAGGGCCACCAGCATTCCCAGCTCCGGAAATGGGCTCGTGCCAAGACCGCCTGCCCAGGAAGGGAGAGCCCTGAAGTTTTGGCGTTAGGCAGTAATAAATCAGAGCAAACAAAGCTCAGCGAAGGGGAATGTGGCGGGACTTTCTCAGCCCTGATTATTATTCTGTAGCAATTTTCGTGTGAGTTGGGGCAGGGTTTTTACCAGAGCGACTCTGGCTGCTCTGCTCCGCAGGAGCACTGCGGTTTTGTTTTTAAAACCAAGAAAAAAAATTATAGAGGAGGGGAATAAAAAGCTAGAAACTTTGGTAAGGAGAGAAACCACCTTCACTAGCCGGGCTGAAGGAGCAGCCTCTGCTCCGGTGAGTGCTGCCTGCAGGCTGGGAGGGGGCAGGCAGCACGGGCAGGGGCGCAGGCAGCAGGGACAGGCAGCACAGGCAGGGTCCCCAGGGGTTCCCGCAGCAGAGGCATTGGGGATGTGCTCGCTGGTGCTGAGGTTTGCCTTAGCATCATTCCTCCGCCTCATGGGGGTCCCATCCTGCCCCCCAGAGCAGAGCAGGGAGGGCACGGGGTGGTGCCAGCCGAGGTCTCAGGGGGTGGCCAAGCCCAGGGTGCCCATCGAGGAGATAGAACTCACTTGCATCCCCCCTCTCCCTTCCAAAACTGAGCTAGAAGGGGCTTGACTGCAGCCAGTACTTCCCAGTGCTGGGAAGGGGCTGGGACCCCCTTGCCCTCCTCTTGCAGGGACCAGCGAGCCCTTTTCCAGCACCTAGGGGTGGGGGAGACCCGTGGGTGGGCAAAGAGGGGACAGCCAGCAACAGGGGGCCGG